GTTCAGGTCCGAGCCTGCTCGCACTCAGATGGCTGTAACAGTCTCCTCAATGGCCTTCTGGCCACCAAGATCCCTCAGCAGTTCAGCTACTACAGGACTTTCCGATTTATTTTTCTAAAGGTTTGACCACTCATTCACTCATCAAACGTGTAGTGTGCACTAAGTACTCTGATATTGATAGTGGGGACAAATAAGACTGGAGCTCAAAAATCTTCCCTGGCTTCCCAAGGCCTCCTGAATGAAGCACACTCTTTTCAGTCAAGCAATCAAGGACGTCCACAATCTTGCTGAAACAAAAATTTCCCATTTTATTTGTCATTTCTAACACATACCTTCTCTCAGCTCTTCCCAAACTCCTCAGACTATATATAGGTTCAGGTTTTTCTACTTCTGGTTCTTTGCTCATGTGGTACCGTTGGCCTAGAACATCCCTCTGTCAAAACTCCACCCAGGCCAGCTCAGATTCCACCTCCTCTTGAACTCCATGGCAGCTGGTTTATACTGGACTTGGAGCCAGGGAGACCTGGGCTCAATTCCTGGCTCTGCCTCTAACTTACTGTGTGATATTGGCCAAATGACTATTTCTCTCAACCCCAGCATCTGCCATCCACAGAATACCAAAACATATTTAAAGAATCTAGTATGTAATACGCTTAATAAATAGCAGTCATGATTATTTTTATTCTCTTGTCATAGTGGATCACATTTAGGCTTGCACTAGAATTGTTGAGTGGTTGCTGTGTCCTAAACTGGAAACTTCGTGAGGATTAGTAAAGTCTCTTATTCATCTCTACATCTTTTCCTACAAGCAGTACAGGTAACTGGCATGCTCTCACTAAATTTTGCTAAATAAACAAATCAACCAATAATAATAATGATAGCTAGTACAGGTGAGTACTCATACATCAGGCATGGTGCTGAGCACTTCACACATGCATTTAAGTCTCAAGACAACCTGGTAGGTAGGTCCTATAGTTTTTGTATTACACAGATGAAGAAGCCGAGACTCTGAGAGGCAAAGTCACATGCCCAAGGTCACATAAGCAAAGCTAAACTAACTCTCGTCACCCCCCATGCCTGAGTTTGAAATGTGGTCTTCTGAAGGTGTGGCTGCTGGTGGGAGGGAGCATCTGTCTAGAAGAGGCCAACCAGAGCGGGGTGCCCAAGGCCTTGTGACGAGTACACAGAGACGGTTCCACAGGGAGACCACGAGAGAACTCCTTGGCACAGAGTTGGAGGAATGGAAAACTCTAGATTTGGGCATAAAACTGGAAAATTCTCTATGCCTACCAATTACACACTTGCCTTCCCACAGTTATTCCTCTTACAGGGGAGGCTTTTAAGGCAAAGCTGTTTTCTGATGTCTTCACATTTAACTAATTTATTAGGAACTGTGCGTTTTATTTCCAAACACTACAACTATTCCCAGCTTGGACCATTCTAGCACCTACAAGGATGCTTTCCCCTCAGTAAGGCTGCAGCCTCGGCCTTAACGGGCCAGTCACCGAATGCCTGTGACACAGTCCCACGTGTTGACCTCTCCGCCCAGGTCACCCTTCTTCCCACTGCACTCCCTCCTGGCCTTTTTCTCCAGGTCTCCTCCCCATCCCTCTGATGAGCTTGGCTCAAGTGACATTCCAAGGAACCCTAAGTCTAGCTCAGCTCCGTCTGTCACTGCACCCTGCATTTCCCTTCAGGTTATTTATCACAGATAGTAATCGTCTGTCTCCACCATTAGACTGTAACCCCAAGAGCAGAGGCAGAGTAACTGCTTTACTAAACACCACAGCCCAGACCCTGCTAGTGCTACCACGCATAGAATAAAGCAAGAGCTCAATAACAATTTACTGGATGAATACTGAGTGCCGTATCCCCAGGATCAGAGAGGCTTAGTGACTTAACCAACATCACATTGCCAAGACTAGCAAAGTTGCACTCGACGTCTGCAAGGGTCATTTGGTAACCCTGTTTCCTTTCTCTGGAACACCTGTGATTTTGGATAGAGATGCTGTGATCACGATCGCTACTGTCTCCAGAGTAATGTCCACATCGCAAGCCAAGAGGCTGGCTAGAAATTAAAGTTTCAAATAGTTATTCACTTTCTCCAAATATATCTTTTACTAAAACAGAGCTGCCAAGATGTGTTTACTTTTACTTTAGAACTTTTTAAACAGAATTTTGGAGAAATACTAAAATCCTTTCATGTTTTCAATCATTTAAAGCCATCTTTTCTGAGAAAATGCCATTATTAGATACAACTCAGCTTAAGAACTTCTGTTTTCTTTACCAATTAGTATTTTCTAAATATTGCAGGTATTTGATTTGGAAAGAGATAACAGCTCATTATGCTAAAATGCCAATTATTTTTAAAAAACCACACTTAAGAGTTTTACATTTTATGAGGTTGGATTAAAACTAATTTAAAAATTACTATAAAGTGACATAATTCTTTACTGAGCAATTTCAATGCCAGCTGCTAATAAAGCATCTTAGATGCTTTTAGATAAAGTGGTACATAAATATGACTGGAAATTGATTTAGCTTCTTGCAGAAGCTACTGAAGAATGACATGTTTTGTTTAATACACCAGCTAATGTAGTCCTAAAAGCTCAAACAAGTGCCAGTTTTCACTCCTAAATTTGCTGTGTGAGATTAATGAAAACTTTATATTTTGCTGAAATGTTAATAATGGGCAGATGAGATGATAGAATTTTAGTAGAGGTCTTAAAGCTATGGAATAACCAGCAAGGCTTGTCAATTTCCTCATATTAATTTTGTTCAAGACTTATATAGCTGGAGCTGGCTCAACACATTAATGCTTCTTGCATTGACCTTCTACTCTCTGACAGCGTAAATTCACATCCCATTTAAGGATTTAAGTCCCCTTGATACTTGGGTGAGTTCTGAGCCTTGCCCCAGTTGACAAGGGGTGTGTTTACTTTTATGGTCAAAAGGGCAGCAGCACCGGGGGAGCAGAGAAGGAAGAAACAGTCCTGCACTCACCTCTGATACATGCTGCTCACCCCCAAGCAGGTTATCTGCTGAATGGGAACAACTTCTGGTTTTGGAGTTCCAGTGCCATTTCTCAAAGTAGGCTCAGGAATTCCTCTGCTTGGAGGGGACATGTCTGTGTGTACAGATCAGTCAGCCATGCAACCTGCAACTACTGTCCCCATGCCTGCAGTGTGCTAGACTGGGAAGGGACATTGATGAAAATAAGGCAGGGTTCCTGACCTTCAGGAGCTTACAAATTCACTACAGAACACCAAGAAAACAGGACAAGGCAGAGAGAAGTGCCCAATAAATGATGCATGCAACAGACACCTAATCTAAAGGCACACATCTGAAGCAGAGCACTATAGCAAAAGCATTTTTTTTTTAAACCGGGAAAGTTCTGACTTTGCATGTACACCTTTACTGTTTGTATCCTTCTGGAAAGGGGTGAACCCAAACACACATGAAAGATGCTTAATACTGCACCACAGTGCATATTAAAAATATTACTGTACTATCAACTTCACATTCCAAAACGACTTCTGTTAAGAGAAGACATTTTTATCTACTCGAAGTAAAAAATAGAACCAGAATGTCTTAAAAATAAACATATTAAAAAAAACCACTCCCCAAACTGTTAATTTAATTGAAATATAACCCTTTGGTATTTTGTTAAATTAGCAATTAAAAAGGTCACAAGCAATTAAATGAAACAAAAGCCACACTGTGTTCATCTACATTAATGCTGAATTGGGTCTCCTCATGAATGACAAGATAAATTGTAATGGTGCCTTCAAAGACTTCACAATGCATTTTGTCAAAGTCGAGAGTGTTAATGTCTCTATGTGCCATGGATTACCATAATGTATTGTGTCAAAACGCTTGAGCTGCAATAACTCAAAGATGTATTGTGATAGATCAAATTTTGGGCGGGGGGGGGGGGGG